TCAAAAGCCTTTGTATACACAGACAATGGCACAGCTGAGAAAGAATTTATAAGTTCAAATCTATTCACAATAGCTACAAAAAAATCAAATACCTTGGAATAAATTTAACCAAGGATGTCAAAGATCTATATGATGAGGATTACAAAACATTAAAGAAAGTAATAGAAGATACACAAAAATGGAAAAATCTGCCATGTTCATTGATTCAAAGAATCAATATCATCAAAATGATCATTCTTCTGAAAACAAATTACAGATTCAATGCGATATCAATCAAAATACCAATCTAATACCAGATCTAGATAAAATGATGCTGAAATTCATGTGAAAACATAGGAGACCCCGAATAGCTAAAGCAATCATATACAACAAAAACAAAGCTGGAGGCATCACGATATCATATTTGAAGACATACTACAGGGCAGTTATAATTAAAACACCCTGTTAGTGGTACAAAAACAGATGGATAGACCAATGGAACAGAATAGAATCACAAGAAATCAATGCAAGCATCTACAATTAGTTTATATTTGATCAAGAAGCTACAACCAATCCCTGGAGCAAGGACAGTCTATTCAACAAATGCTGCTGGGAAAACTGAATTTACACATGAGAAATATTAAACAAGACCCCTACCTTAACCTTACACAAAAATCCATCTAAATGGATTAAAGACCTAAATCTATGACCTGATAACATCAAATTATTACAGAATATTGGTGAAACCCTGGAAGACAATGGCATAGGTAAAGAGTTCTTGGAAAAGACCCCAGAGGCACAGGCAATCAAAACTAAAAATTCACAAATGGGATTAAATCAAATTGAGAAACTTCTGTATTGCAAAAGAAACACTCAGGAAAGTGAAGAGGAAACAAACAGAATGGGAGAAATTATTTGCAAACTATGCAGTTGATAAAGGATTAACAACCAGAATATATAAAGAGATCAAGAAATTCCACAACAACATAATTAACAACCCAGTTAAGAAATGGGCCAAGAACTTACACAGACAATTTTTAAAAGAGGAAATCCAAATGGTCAACAGACACATGAAAAAATGTTCAGGATCACTAGGCATCAAAACAACAATGAGATTTCACCTCACTGCAGTTAGAATAGCTTTCATACAGAAATCAACAAACAACAAATTCTGGTGAGGTTATGGTGAAAAACTCACACTAATCTACTGTTGGTAGGAATGTAAACTGTTGAAATCACTATGAAAGACAGTTTGGAGATATCTCAGAAATCTGAATATGGACCCATCATATGACACAGCCATCTCACTCTTGGGAATTTACCCAAGGGAAATGAATTCATTAAATAAAAGAGTTATCTGCATCCTCATGTTTATTGCAGCTCAATTCACAATAGCTAAGACATGGAACCAACATAAATGCCAGTCAACTGAAGGCTGGATAAAGAAATTATGGGATATGTACTTTATGGAATACTACACTGTGGTCAAAAAAATGAAATCTAGTCATTTGCAACAATATGGATGAATCTGGAAAACATTATACTTAGTGAAATAAGCCAGTCCCAAAGGGATAAATACCATATATTCTCCCTGACCTGTGATAACTAATAGAGCACCTGCAAGGCAATCTGTACAAGTGAAATTGATGCTTTGGGAAACAATGACTTGTATAGCCCTTGTCTTGATTGTCAAGGAACATTGTTTTTCTCTTCTTAATACTATTTGTTAAACTCTTTACTTAGCAAAGAGTTAATCATATGTGTGTAAAGTCAATTGAAAATACATTTCAGTAAAAAATAAGAGTGGGAATAAGAGAGAGAGAAGGAAGTTTGAGACTGTAAAGCTATATAGTTTTGCAGACACTCCTACAGACTTAATTCTAAGGGTACAGTTTAAAATGTTGGCAAATCTCATTAAGCTAGGTGAAAAATACCAATCTTAACTGTTAAAGTGACTATATTAAGTGTTAAAGTGATCATATAGATAGGATTAAGTGTTAAAGGGATCATATAAATAGATCAAGTGTCTGGTAATAATAATAGATAGAATTCAAAAGGAGAGAATGTTCCAACATGGGAAGCAGTCCACATAGCAGACTCATAGAATGGCAATCGCTTTAAATAGCACTCTGACCTCAGAATCAGCCCTTAAAACATTCTGGTCTGGCTGAAAAGCTCATGAAAGCATTTCAGGCATGGAAAGCCAAGACACTGTGGCAAAAAATGTCCTTCGTGAAGGATCTCTATGAGAGAGACCCCAGTGGAAAGAAGTGACCATCAAAGAAGGATGCACTTATCTTAAATGCAGGAGAAAACTTCCTTTTTGCTTATTGCCTTGTCTAAATACTGATGGATATTGTGGATTCAAAAGGCTTCCATTGCCTTGGCAGCTCATGTTAAGAACCTTGGTGATCACTGACATCATAATAAGAATGTTAATTGTTAAGTTAACAACAGGAGTCACTGTGCACTTATTTCCCATGCAGGACGTCTGTCCTCAATGAGTTGTGTTATAAGAATTAACTGTAAAAACTGTTCTCAAACATTTGTATGTGTGCGTGTGTGTGTGTGCAAACTGTTGAAATCTTTACTTAGTACAGAGTTGGTCTGCTATGTACAAAGTTAATTGAAAATTAATCTTAATGGAAAAAGGGACTGAGAATGGTAGAGGGTGGAGGCGGTGGGATGGGAGTGGGGTGGGAGGGCGGGTATGATGGAAAGAATCACTATATTCCTAATGCTGCACTTATGAAATTTGTACTCATTAAATAAAAGTTTCTTTGGGAAAAATAAAAAATAATAAAAAATAAAGTAGAAGTGCAGGGACATGAATTCATATAAAAGTACTATGGCTTTCATCTTAGTTACTGTGTTTATTGAATTACTCAGTCTGTGGGAAGCCAGCTCTACATTGTATGCAGATCCAGAAAAAGCCCGAACTGGTAAGGAACTGTGAACTCCTGCCAACATTCTTGAGCACAGGTGCAGATTCCTCAGTTCCCATCAAGCCATCAGATGACTGACGCTTCAGTCAACAGCTTGACCACACCCTTTGGAAGAACCTTAGTGCCACCCAGCTAAGCTACTCCTGGGTTCCTGATCACCAGAAAACTTTTAGACAGTATATGTTTTATACATTGCTAAGTTTTGATGTTATTTTAAAGAAGTAATGGACAATTAGTAAGAGTACTTCAGAGATTTGAGGTAATATCATGGAATATGCTGCTTGCTGAATGAGAAATGCCATAATACACTATAGTTTATACTGAATGATGAGCTAAAAGAGGAAGGAAAAGGAACTTCAAAAAAAAGCAGAGAAAAAGAAAAATTATAAAACACTAACAAGGAAAAATCAGAAGGATGTAAAACTTTTGATGGGTGATTTCTAAACTTTTATCACTGTTCCACCTGCCTTGTTTTCTGAGAGCCATCAATTTATGACAGTGACTGCAGGCTGCACCCCAAAGGCTACTGGCTAAAGGAATTGTTCATTCCTACTTACTGCTTTTGTTTTATTCCATTTTCATTTCTCAACTTGAGCTAAAATTGATAGTTTTAATTAAATAATAAATGAAAGTCATACTTCCACTCTACATAGAATGTAAGGTTTTTGTATTAGAGATGTCACCAAGGTTCTTTGTTAACACAAAGGCTGGGGACACAGGAATTTATGATTTGTTGGCATTTGTTGTGAACACTGCTGTTCCTCTGCCATAGCAACACTAACCCAGGCTGACCTTCATTATTAATGATGCCACAAAGGAGAGGTCTGGATTCATCGTCCTCACCAGTCAGCTTTGTCATTGAACCAGAACAAATTTCCATTTAAAATGATCTAACTATCTTTGGCACACAAGATCCCCACTTACAACCAATTTCTTAAACTCCCTACTGTGAATATAGTTGTGGAAGAGGACTGTCCATTTATTAGTCTGTTTAATAATGAATACAGAATTTAAATTGCCTACTGAATATTATTTACCCTGATTTTCCTAGGGCAAGTAAAGGAACTTGGCAGCCATGAAACTAGTACTTAATATGTTTATATAAAATGTTATGACTAAGTTTGCTAAAAATTTTTCATTACCTGCTTGGTTAAAGGGTTAGTAGCTAATGGAAAGAGAAAATATTTGAAGCAGCATGCCCAAGACCCAAGGATCTGCCTTTTGCTCCAACTGAGCAAGAGTAGATCTGAGGACCTGCCTCTTCTAGTGCCAACCTCCTCTCAAGTTGCAACTCCAGGGACCACCATCTCTGCATTTATTTTCTCTGGGACCAGATAACAGATTTTGGTGATTAGCTCCTTGTTGGTGACCACCCATAACTTCTCAGATACTCAGAATTAGTCCACTGGGGTCCATTTGGTCGATTTGCACCTGTTGGCCTCCTATGCTTACCCCTCTCAGGGCTTTTATGTCAGCCTGGAAGGCATTAGATACTTATTCTGTGATTTGTCAGAGAAGAGGTCTCAGGGCATCCAACACCTCTTGAAGATACAAAACCAGTGCGTCAGTTATGGCCTCTTTCAGGATGCACAGGCACTGTCTCAAGGTGAGTGGTTCAAATCCCTGATGCTGAGACACTACTGTAGCCCTGGAGAAGAATCAGAAGCAAGCCAATTTACATGCTCTGGGTTCTGCCTGCACAACTCCCATCTCTATGCCTTCTTGGAGAGTCACTTCCCAAATGAGAGGATGAAATTCGTCAAGATGATGATGACCAACTGACTGACCTCTGAGCTGGTGGTCCCCAAGCCAACTGGACTAATGCCTCTTGGAAAGGCTCGCCCCACAGCATGAATAGGAATGCCAGAGCTCAGTGTCTTGGTGGGGGTCGGGGCTTTGCACTTCCTGATATCAGGGTTTCTGCATTAGCTACTCACTCCAGCTTTGAGACATCTTTTCAACAACCCTGAAGCCCTTTTCCCAAGCCTTAGACAAAACAGACATAAAGGCTTTTGCAGAAGCTGAACAGAAAAAAAGAGAGAGAAATAAAAAAAAGTAGTGTGAAAACGTTCTTACTTGTAGGAGATATGCTGTTGGTAGATTCTGTAACACTGAATGTAGCATCTACTGAGGGAGCCACAGAATCTGAAAGGACAACAAAGACACCTACAATGAACAAAATACTGTAATAGAAAGATACTGAATTAGTTCCTAACATTTCATTATTCATCATCTAACAAATCAGTTCTGAGGAACTGTTACGCACAAGGTAGTGGGGATGGGACAGTGAATGAGAGAGACATGGGATTGTCCATAAAGAGCACACAGTAGAAACAGGTAGCCAGGCACTTCCCTGAGTGCTGTGCTCAGGGAGGAGCAGGGTACTAGGGCAATACAGTGAAGGGGTACTGGTCAAAATCAAGAGGTTTGGGAAAATTTCCTGGAGAAAATGACATTCACCAAGACCAGGTAAAACCATTATAGCAGTCAATATTTTAAAGTGCTTGAAAAGTAAATACACTATTTACAAAATCCATAAACTCCCTGATTCTTTTCAATTGGCAAGAGTAGAAACAATGATACAATTATCAAATTCGATGTAACACCAGTATTTAAGATTTGTAGTATCTACAAAACCTTAAAGAAAGAAATAGAAGAGGATACCAAGAAATGGAAAAATCTTCCATGCTCATGGATTGGAAGAATCAATATCATCAAAATGTCCATTCTCCCAAAAGCAATTTACAGATTCAATGCAATACCAATCAAGATACCGAAGACCTTCTTCTCAGATCTGGAAAAAATGGTGCTGAAATTTATATGGAGGCACAAGAGACCTCGAATAGCTAAAGCAATCTTGTACAACAAAAACAAAGCCGGAGGCATCACAATACCAGATTTCAGGACATACTACAGGGCAGTTGTAATCAAAACAGCATGGTACTGGTACAGAAACAGATGGATAGACCAATGGAACAGAATTGAAACACCAGAAATCAACCCAAACATCTACATCCAACTCATATTTGATCAAGGATCAGAAACCAATCCCTGGAGTAAGGACAGTCTATTCAATAAATGGTGCTGGGAAAATTGGATTTCCACGTGCAGAATCATGAAGCAAGACCCCTACCTTTCACCTTACACAAAAATTCACTCAATATGGATTAAAGACTTAGATCTACGACCTGACACCATCAAATTATTAGATAGCATTGAAAAAACCCTGCAAGATATAAGTACTGGCAAAGACTTCTTTGGTGTCTTTTGCGAGACACAATTCTTCATTATCCAATATGTGCATTTTATTTATTTATTCTCTCCTAGGTGATGTTGAGGTCAGTATATACAATAGTCATTTTCACATGCTACAGTGATCTGAATAAATTATCATGCAAACCTTAACAAGAATCTCACTCTTTTTTTTTTTGACACAGACACATATGGTCCGCATGATTTTTTTTTTAATTAAATAGAGGTTGCCAGACGCTCGCCCGCGAGAGTCCAGCGTTGTAAAGAAACAATCGCTGCTTTCTTGGTTCTCATGGAACTTTATTCATCCAGATGCAAGGCGAAAGAAAAGAAGCCAAGCCCTCATCCCCCTACACAATACTATCCCCATTATATACCCTAGGTTCCCATAGCAGGACACTCCCAGCCAATGACAAGTCTGTTCACATGCAGTCCATGCAGGCACAGTCCAATCAAGTCGAAGGGCACATAGTGCCTCAGGTCGAAAGTTCATCTTGCTCCATCCGGGTTGTTTGTGTCTTCAGGACATCCTGTGGTTAGCACTTCCTTGACTTGTTTTTCTCAGCAGCCAGCACTTCCTTAACTTGTTTTGCACAAGTTGTTACAACAGGCCATGCAAACAGCAAAGTGAGGAAGTTCCCACAGGTGGCCAGCCTGTGGTCCCCCACAGAGGTATTTCTACATAGGCACATGAAAAATTCATGCTTCTTGTACTTCTCGAATACCCTGACTTTAAAGGATCTATTTTTGGCTTTTTTGTTAGTTTCTGATTTATGATATTCTGCCTCATTCAGCATTAGAATAGAACTGCTTATGGATTTCTGGTATTAGACTTGCATATTCCTTAATGGCGAATCAACAATTAAATATATGGAATAATCTGAAAGGCACAATCCTCAAAAACTGTGCCAATCTTGTCACATCTTGATCCAAAGTGCTTGAATTAAATGGAGCAGTCTGATTTCTCTGACACCCACAGGTGTGAAAGAGCTCTAATCCCTCTTCTGCTTCTTTCCTATCTTAACGAGGTTTTGATAGACAAACAAATAAC